GAGATTTCATTTTTTTGCATTTTGGGTTTATTAAAAATTAGAAATTTCAAATTATGTTTAGTGTGAAAAATTCAAATAATAGAGAACAATGAAGTCTCTCTCCCCACCTACTGCTCTTTCCTGTTCCTTGCTTATCTTTCCAGAAATTTTGATTGCACATATGTATTACACAAATAACATCTGTCTTAATATTTTAAACATTGTTACACCGTATATACTCTTTTGTGTGTGTTTTTTTTTTCAGTTGACATGTTGTGAGCAGACAATAGCAATTTTAAAATGAAACAACCCTTATTTATTTAAAAGACAGCTTAGTTGTGCCTTGATAAAATATCTGATGACACTTGGTTTTAAACAGTTATTTGCAGACTCGTTCAGGTGATGGAGCATCTGGAGCTCATGGTACTTTTTGTGGAGCACCATGAAATAATGATATTCTTTCATACTAAGAAGAAAGGTTTTACTTGCAGAAATATGTTTATAATATGAAGTATAAAGCCAAACCAGAATTCTGTACTTTAAAGAGAAGAAACTGAAAACTAGGCATGATTGCCAACTCACAGTTTAATATTCATTTGTTGCTTATAGTCTTCCCTAATTGTTTATATTTTTGCTTTATCATAAGTTAGCTTTCATTTGTGGAAAAATGTCTAGAGACAGTGAAGTTTTAGTGGAAATATCCCTAAAACTTAAGACAGTTCTGCTAATTTACTTAATAGTATGGTTTATGTACATTAGGAAGACTCCTGTAATTTAGTTTTTTTATTGGTAGAAAATCTAGCTTCATTTGCCAAGCAGCAGTGCTTTGTGGGAACTTATCTTCTGAGCATATTGGTTTAGATCACTTGGGCTCTCTGCAGGGATTTCTTCTTAGCTCCTGCTGTTACTTTCCCTAGCAGCGTAGATAAGAAAGCTCACTTTCTTCTTGGGTGATTAAAATGGGTAGCTTGACTCTACCAATTGATTTTATTGCAACTCTAATCTGTTTTTTCCTCTAATTCAGGTGTTAAATAAGGCAACATAGATTGATAGAGACTACCATAGGTTTTCGCTAGAGCCATATCATCTTAGAGTTTAAAGGAGCCCTTGTCATCTATTAATATCATACAAAGGGCAAAAATCCCATTATATGTAGGTTGACCATTCAATTTTCTTGAGAATGAAAGGGTTGGAGAAAATGCTAAATTGATTGGTGCCCTGAAATAATAGGTGTAAAGTAGGACTGTCCTGGGAAAAACAGCTGTAATGGTCATCCTTGTTAGACGGCAGCCTTGCCATCTAAAATCTGCCTGAAGGTATTTGTTGTCCTACAGAAAAGCTAGTGTTCTAATAATTTAAAAGATCTAATGGAAAAAAAAGGATCTAATTAAAATTTTAAAGGTCTTTTATTTAGTTAAAATTTAACTCCTTGCAGCTAGAACTGTTCTTCCCAGTTTTGTCTTCTGGTACTAAATGTAGTCAGAATATGGCAGTATACGAAATACAGTAGCTCTTCACATACCTTTTTTTTAAACAACTTACAGTTTTTTTTTTTTTTTTCAAACACTGCTCGTTGAACACTATAGTACATCCATACATTCTCATTTGGGTGTGTTTAGAAAACATTTAGTGAGGTCTCTGGCTTCTCAAAAGCAAAGCTTACATGTATTAATCTATTATCATCTTAAGATAGAATGAAGTGCTATGGCAAAGGAAAGCTGACAATTAAAGGAAACGAAACTGTAGTTTATACATGGGAAGGCTGGACTTCCAGCCAGAGTTAATCATAATGCTTATGCTTTTCTTACCATTAAAAGTAATCGATGTACATCAAGTAAAGACGAACTACAGATACATTTAAGACAGCCAGCCTTCTTGTCATCCTTTTATCCTTCAGGCTAAATATAGGCAACTTTTCGTCACCCTGGTTACTATAGTAAAGACATCTTTTCGTTTTCATGTGCTGTTGTTGCCCATGTTTTTTTCCAGGAGGCTCAAAAATAGAACAAGCTAGGAAGATAACTTTTGAGGTGATGTGTAGACAGGACACAGAGCCACGTTCATTATTGTATATATGTAGTTCCCACCCCACTTATCTCTGTCCCCCCCTTTTTTTTTTGCTATTTATGATAATCCTGAAAGAATGTAAAATAGAACCATTGCACAGCATGATTAAGGAAAAATTTCTACAGAGGACATTGTTTAATTTGATGGACATGTAGTTTGATTTGAACTTCTGAATGAATTTAGTTAAAAGGCAACCAAAGTAGGTTAATTTATAGAGGCACCAAAGATATCAAAATTAAAAAGTTGACTTTTGGAAGTTCTCTGTTACAGTGGGTAGAGATTATTGACCGAGTTATTGGATTTTACTGCTGATACATGGCAAATCTTCACTGTATATTATAATTTTGTAAAAATAAAACCGTGAGGTGTGAGGTAGGGCAGTTGAAATAATTTAGGGTGTGTTTTACAAGTACCAAAGCTTTACTTCTGAGGTCATATGTAAAAGTATCTGCAGTTACTCTTTTTTGTTTGTTTTTAAAGATTTTATTTATTTGCGAGAGAGAGCAGGAGCAGGGTCAAAGGGAGAGGGAGAAGCAGACTCCCTGCTGAGCAGGGAGCCTGTAGCAGGGCTTGGTCCCAGGAACCCAGGATCACGACCTTAGCTGAAGGCAGATGCTTAACTGACTGAGCCACCCAGGTGCCCCTCTGTAATTACTCTTTTTATTGCAGTTATTTGAATACATTTTTTTTAAAGATTTATTTTTTTTAGAGAGAAAGAGAGCTTGCGAGCAAGGGGAGGGTGCAGAGGAAGAGAGAGAGAGAATCCTCAAGCATACTCTCTGCTGAGCCCAATGTGGGGGGGAGCTCGATCCCAGGACCCCAAGATCATGACCTGAGCTGAAATCAACAGTCAGCCACTTAACCGACTGAGCCACCCAGGCACCCTGAATACATTTTGAAGGTTTTAAAAATGAGTTGGTCATTCTGGGGAGCACATTTATGTATTTGATATGGTAGGGAGTATTTCTTGTGAGGAACTGGAGGAGAGCTATTTTGTCATACAGGATCTTTTTCTGTAGTACAGTTCATCCACATTTGCAGCATTAAGGGTAGAGATGGAACAGTGGTTTCCTTTTTTTGATACTATCACTGTTAATTGTTTAGTTGATAATGCTAAGTATATATCTATACATTACTTTTATTTGCCTTAACTTGCTCATCTAATATTTTTGCTCTTTGAAGTATGATCAGAGATGACTAAGTTATGAATTCTTCTGGGTACTTTGTTACATGAAACATGGAAGATGCTTGGTGATGCTGAGGCAGAGTGTAGCTAGTCAGGAGGGTGGTCATGCAGTGCCAACTTAGAAAACTGCTGCAGGTAAATACAAAACTTATAGAAAATTCACTTTACGATTGTTTGACCTTACAATTCAGTTTCTCTGTGAATTTTATTACCTAAACCTTGGTGCTATGGGAAAAAACCCTGTCTTATTAACTTGAGAAATGATTTTAGGTATGTTTATGCTAGTTCTGATAAAATATAATTTATGAACTCACAGAAGTATTGTGCTAGGGTGGTCACTTACCAAGACACATGCAAACAGCAGTGAAGTAAATTTTACTTTGCATATTTTTAGAGGCAAATGAATGACCATTTATTGGACTGATAGCACCAAATTATTTCAGGCCACGAAATAAAGTCTATTAAACTAAAGGGGAAGAAGGAGGAAACTATTATTTATTAAATGCCTTCTGTGTGCTAGGTGTTAATGCTAGATGCTTTCCAAATATTATTTTACAATTCTGTGAGGATTTTGGCTGCATTTAGAACTTACACTTAGAGGTTTATCAAAGCTCCTAAAAGGCGGAGCAAGAATTTGCATGCTCCTTTTTTTTTTTTCCCACTACTCAAAAAACTCAGATTTGTGTGTGTACAGATTTGCTGTGTGACAAAATTTATTTGGGGGATTATTTTTAACATTGACTTTCGTAAAGTACAAGAATAATTAAGATGTAAAAATTGAATAATGTTGAAGGCCTGTAGTGTTTCTTCAAACCAAGATTCTAGTGGATTTAAAAATGTCTTAAAAAATTTAATAACTCTTCTCCAAATATATCTAAGTACTTTTTTGATGAGTCACTTTTTAGAGTATTGATGCTTTTTGTTGACCTACAGTTAGCTTGCCTACATGTAGTTATTATCACTTCCTAACAAATGAGCATTTAAAAGATTAGTTAGAAATGAAGTAAGAAGTCTTTATAGCCCTGCCACTTAGGTTTGATTCTTGGTCTGACCCTTCCTAGCCATTTTGATGTCTGGCAAGTTACTTTAGGTGTCTACACTTTGGTCCCCCCCCCCCCGCCATTTCATCTGTCAAATGGGGTAACATTCTCTATTTTATAGATTTGTTGTGAGGATTAAATGAATTAAATGACTGCAGATCCGACCTATTATCTTGCACTTCCTGAGCTTTCAGTAAATTTGTGTTGAAGAACATCTTCCAGGATTTTATATACACATTGATTCATCTTGCTTTATAAGTAACTCCAAAATTTTGGACTTGAGAAAACCTCCTTAGAGTATTCTACATTTTTGGAATGCTTATTATTTCATTTTATTAATTCAGGTTACATTTTCAATTATTCTAGATACTAGTGTAATAGAAATGGTATTGTGGTTTAATTATTAGATGCTTTATTTTTTTTTGTAGTACACAGTGATTAATACATGGTAGTCAGTATTTACTATAGGATTGAATGAATTTGAATCTATTTATAGTCATGTTTTTCTTTATAAATTCTTAATTTGAACTTCATTTTTTATTGTAAAGAAACTACTAAAATCTTAATTTCTTAATGACTGCTTCAGTCTCTTACAAATTTTGTGCATCTTTACTTTGTTTTTAACTAAAAGGTGATCCTTTGCCTGAAATAATCTTTAAAAATTAGCTTAAAATTTTTAAAAATAATAATCAGAATGACATTAATACTTCTTTTTTTTGTTCTCTTAGCTTCACAATGAAGAAGATAATTCAGAGTCATCTGCTGTAGAGCAACCATCAACTTCAAACCCAACACCGCAGAGCATTCAGACTGCTCCTTCAGCATCAGTACTTGAAACGGACTCTTCTCCTCCACCTTATAGTAGTATTACTGTGGAAGTACCTACAACTTCAGGTATTATTTTTAGTATGAAATAACTAGTAATATTTTTAGTGACTCATTTTTTTTTTAAACCAGTATGGTTTTATTTAATTATAGAGTCTCTTAAAGGCTTACTGGTTTTATGATTTTTGTTACAAAAAGGTTTTCCAAAGGATAGTGTATAAAATATTTACTCGTATATTACTAGTCTTATATTGTTGTTTTCAAAAAAATTGAAAGTGTAAACTTTCTTCTCCTTACTAGAATGTTTCCAGTGGAGTGGCATATTCCTTTTGGAAGAAATAAATGTGTGTATATGTATACTAATTTATGTGTATATATATGTATACATTTATCTATAGATATATGCGTATGTGGTATATGTATCTATATACACATATATATTTGTATTTGTTTATATCTACCTACATAGCTGTAAAACAAGGTGTTATTAATGCTGAGTGTGAGTGGGAATGTGGTATGTGTGAACGGAGGTGAAGGGTCTACATAATATAACCATATATACAGGGTAATAATTCCTGGACACGAGGCAGTGTTTCCTGCTTCCTACGATTCATTTTATCCTCTCAGGTCATTCTAAAAACTACCCTTATCTATTTCTCTGGTCACAATTTATATTTTCCCAGTAATGCTAGGTTAATCATCATATAATTTATTTTTTACTTTTTTTCCAGTATAGTTATCATACAGTGTTATATTAGTTTCAGGTGTACAATATAGTGATTTAAAAGTTCTGTATTTTACTCAGTGCTCATCATAATAAGTGTACTCTTCACCCCCTTCCTATTTCATTCATCCCTCTACTCACATCCCCTCTGCTAACCATCTGTTTGTTCTCTGTGGTTAATAGTCTGTTTTTTTGTCTCTGTGTTTTCTTTCCTTTGTTTTGTTTCTTAAATTCCACATATGGGTGAAATTCTCTGATGTCTTTCTCTGGCCAACTTATTTTGCTTAACATTGTACAGTCTAGCTCCACCCATGTTGTTGCAAATAGCAAGATTTCATTCTTTTTTAAAAAGCTGAGTATTATTCCACTGTGTGTGTGTTATATCTTCTTTATCCACTCATCTACCGATGGATACTGGGGCTGCTTCCATAATTTGGCTATTGTAAATAATGTTATAATACAGGGGTGTATATATCCTTTTGAATTAATGTTTTCATATTCTTTGGGTAAATACCCAGCAGTGTGATTACTGGATTGGGTAGTTCTATTTTTTATTTTTTTTTTAAGATTTTATTTATTTATTTATTTGAAAGAGAGAGAGAGCACAAACAGAGGAAGCAGCAGAAGTAGAGGGAGAAGCAGATTCCCCACTGAGCCGGGAGCCCGATGTGGGGCTCAATCCCAAGAACCTGGGATGGAGCCTGATGCGGGGCTCGATCTCAAGAACCTGGGATCGTGACCTGAGCCAAAGGCAGACGCTTAATGGACTGAGCCACCCAGGCGCCCCAGGGTAGTTCTATTTTTAATTTTATTTACCTCCATATTGTTTTCCAGAGTGGCTGTACTAGTTTGCATTCCCACGAGCAGTGCATGAGGGTTCCTTTTTCTCCGCATCCTCACCAGCACTTGTTTCTTGAAGTTAATCATTATATAATTAAAAAAACATTTAAAATATGTTTTTGTGTACTATCATAAATAATCTGTAAATATTTTATATATTCAGTATGAAACATTTTTTAAATCTGTTATAAAAATGTTTTAATATTAAAAAACCCTTCACTAGAGTATTTCATCTTTATTTGTTTTTCTGCAATTAGTATCATTATTCTCTTAAACCCTTGCCAGCTTTCTCTGGTTACCATTTCTGCCTCTACGGATTTTATCTAGACCATATGGGTTGTGTAAAAAGACCATTTACTATTTTTCATTTACAATATTATGCAGTTACTGAAAATCATCTTCTTTATGAAGGTGTTCTCACTAATAAATTAGCAAATGCTTACTCTTATTTGCATATAATGTTTATTTGATCAATACGCTTTTTTAGTGCCCAGTTTGATGGACTGTTTGACAGTTTTTATATTGATTTATAGTAGTTTTATTTGTCTTTGGATTAAATAGCTGGATTAGTGCTTGCTAAAATTTATTATGGACTAAATTTTCTTCGTTATTCTGTAAGTTTCCAGAATATAGTTCAGTGAATTTGCTACCCTAGATTTAAAAAAAAAAAAAAATCTATTTGATGATCGTCTTGAAGAAAGAAAATTAGTTGTTTTGCTGAATCTTGTGTTTGAATGATGGAATGCTAAGATTGAAATTGTAATTTTTTTGTTGTGGTCACCATTGCCACTGCTGTGTAAAAGCCAAATGGAGTACAATAGCAACCATTGTCACTAGTTCTTATGGTTTTTGCGGTGGGCTAGGCTCAGTTATGCAGTTTTCTCCCAGGATATCATGTGATTATCATCTTTCGGTGATCTGGAGCTCCAGTCACCTTGACAGCTTCCTTATTAACATATTTGGTAGCTGATGCAGGCTTCAACTAGGGCCTCAGCTGGGACTGTTGGCCAGAACAGCTATATGTGGCCTCTTATTGTGGCCTGTGCTTCTTCACTGAATGGAGGCTGGGTTCCAAGAACAAGCATTCTGAAAGCAGATAGAAGCTATATCACCTGTTATGGCACTGCTTCAAAAATCACACAGTGTCACATCTGCCACATTTGGTTTGTTAGAAGTGAGTCACTAAGTTTAGTCTTCATTCAGGACAATTGAGGAATTAGTCTCCTCTTCTTGATAGGAAGAGTTTCAAAGAATAGAGTTAAGTTTCAGCACCGTTACAACTGTCTACTGCCTTTTCCCCAATCACCAGACCTTTTCCTTTGTCACTCTTCATTTCAGTAAATGGCTCCAGGAGGCCAGAAACCTTGAAGTCATCTTTTTGGGACCTTATCACAAAATTTCATGTTTTTTCTCATGTAATTTTTGATGTAATGAAATATGTTATTAATAGATTTTTTTCTCTTTTTAAATTTTATTATGTTAATCACCATACATTCCATCATTAGTTTTTTTTATTATGTTATGTTAATCACCATACATTACATCATTAGTTTTTGATGTAGTGTTCCATGATTCATTGTTTGCGTATAACACCCAGGGCTAAGCCAATCAACTTCTGTATTCCTAGAATAAATTGTCACTGTGTTCTAATTTCTTCTGGATTTAGATTTGTTAATTTTTTTTTAGAAGTTTTACAGTTTTATTAGTGGGATCTTTATGTACTATCCTTATGGTTTTAGTATAGATTTTGTGGAAACAACATAGCATGAATTAGGAAGCCTCTCATTTTTCTGTGCTTTAGAATAGTTTTTTTTTTTTTTTTTTTAAGATTTTATTTATTCATTTGAGAGAGAGAGAGAGCACAGGCAGGGGAGAGGCAGAGGGTGGGGGAGAAGCAGACTCCCTGCTGAGCTGGGAGCCTGACATGGGGCTTGATCCCAGGACCTGGAGATCATGACCGAGCTGAAGGCAGATGCTTAACGATCTGAGCCACCCAGGTGCCCCTAGAATAGTTTTGATAATGGCGCATGCCATTTTTAAAGGTTAGATAATTTTCAGTTGTAAGACAAGTGGAATCTGGTACCTGGGTGTTCAGTTATTCGTGTGACTCCTGGTCTCAAAATTTTATTTTTACATCTGTATGAAAATGACTGTAATTGAGCACAAGAATTAAGTAGTTCTAGGAGTTTGTATCTCTTTAATGAAAACCATTGATACTATTTTTTTCAGCCTCTTAGTGTTGTATTTGAAGCATTGGCAGTACCAGTTTTCTGTGATTATGTTTTTCAGTAGGTCACTTTCTTACTGGTTTTATAGATTTAGCATCAATAATAATAGTTGACATTTGTATAATGCCTTACAGTTTACAGAGTCCTCTTGAATATGCTTAAATTCTGTCATATAATAGCAAGTAATAGACTTGCTGGGTCAGTTTTATGGATGAGAAAGTAGAGCTTCATAAAGTGCTTAAGTGGTTTGCTTGAGGTCACACAGCTTACGGAGCTGGGACTGGGACTCCTCAGACGTTAAATTTTCTGGTTGAGAACCGCTGCCTTAAAGGGTAGACAGAAAATAATTAAAATTAACCAGTGAAAATTAAAGCAGTAGCAAAATAGTGCTCCTTCCCAACTTTCATCTGTTATTGGATAGGATATTTTTGTCTGTCGTGGGAGTTAGAACTTTTCGAAAACTCACATATCTGTTGTTAATGTAAAAGATCTCTCTTCTTGGATAATGTATGTCATTGTTCCAGTTTTTAAATTTCTAATTTTAATGTTAGTGCCTTAAAATTCATAACCATTGCTTTCACTTAATTTTTCTTCTATTCTAGTCTTCAGACCTAAGGAAATCTATTTACTTGACTGTGTGTCATGTTTTTCATCTGAATAATAAGTCATTTCTAAGAATTTCTGACTCCTGTGCCTTTTTGGTGGATAATGTTCAGTATTACACTGCTACTAGCATTGGATTAAAAATTGCCCAGCTTCAGATACTTAGGTCTTATTGATAGCATTAAAAAAGCTTATTTTAAAGTCAATATCCATTAAAATACAATAGGAAAAGTATTGCTAGAGTGAAATGTATTTTCATGTTGGAAATGCAAGAAATTCTGATGGAGAAGATGTACAAAAACTATAGGTAAAATGAGGAAACCACGGAACTGATGTCAAACATTATACTATGGACTACTGAGAGAACCTACCTGTTTTTCATGGTAATGATTCTAGCATAAATCTAATCAGTTTATTGACCTGTATGTATCATTTTACTTGTACCACTCAAGTTGGTGATAAGTGATGCAGGTTTTTTTTTTTTTAATTAGCATTCTGCACTTACTATTGTGTTATATTTCTGGAGATCATATTTCTTTTTTTTTTTTTTAAGATTTTATTTATTTATTTGAGAGAGAGAATGAGAGACAGAGAGCACGAGAGGGAAGAGGGTCAGAAGGAGAAGCAGACCCCCTGCTGAGCAGGGAGCCCGATGCGGGACTCGATCCCAGGACTCCAGGATCATGACCTGAGCCGAAGGCAGTCGCTTAACCAACTGAGCCACCCAGGCGCCCGATCATATTTCAAAAATAGTTTAAAAGTTGGGGAGGGAGAAAGTCTTCATAAAAAGAAAATCTAAAAAACTAGGTAGATACAGGAAAAAATGGGGAGAGAGGGACAAGAGTTTTAAAAAAGCTAAAAATCATCAGTTTTTTGTTTTTTTTTTTTTAGCAAAGAGAAATAGTTTGCTGAAGAGATTCGGGCAGTTTCTAAAACTGCTGTGTAGAAAAATGAACCTCACATGTTATCAGAGCAGATATTGGGAATCAGGAAATCCTTGGGTTCTACTGCTTACTGGTTGTGCAATACTGGGCAAATTACTTCTCTGAACCTCAGAGTTGCTAGGATAAATGTATATAGAAGTGGCATATTAAATGGTTAGAACTATATGAGTGTTATTATTCCTGATATATCTACTTTTTGGCTGTGAGATTATGAGCAAGAAAATTAAATTCTTTGAGCATAGGTACAGAGGGTGCTCATATGTGGCGAGTTTCTCACTCCCCTTACACACAGATTTTTAGAATTTCATTCTTGATATTTTTATTTTGTATATCAGCCTGTAGGTGATATTTATCAGTCTTTTCCCTTTATAATAAATATGGGGCTAAATGAACATATATGGTTGTAGTAGTAATTTATATGTTATATAGCTTATAAAATAGGACTACAAAAAGCAGTAACAGTCTTTAGTGGCCTGTTGTAAATTATTAAATTATGTTTTTGGCTGTAAAAATTTTATTAAATAGTTTGTTTTAATGGTTATCCTTTTTTAATTCCTTTCTTCAGATACAGAAGTTTACAGTGAGTTTTATCTTGTGCCACCTCCCTACAGCGTCGCTACCTCCCTTCCTACATACGATGAAGCTGAGAAGGCCAAGGCTGCCGCAATGGCAGCCGCAGCCGCAGAGACAGCTCAGAGGGTAAGGCAGGCTGGTTGCTGTCTTTTGAGAATATCATTTTTAGTAATGTCAAAAATAGGTCTGAGTTTCAGAGTGTTTGTGCACGTAGACTGTTTTTTAGTATCTTCTCTACTACTTCTTAGGTGGGTCATTTTTTGGTGAAATTGGTACTCACCTATCCATTCCTTTACCTCCTCATTTCTGTTTCTACCGATTTTCCTGTGTAGCCCATCATAATCATGGTCCTTGTCTTTACCAGTACATTTCCTAAGTCTTGATTTTCTCCTCTCATGTGCTTTCACTCCCATCCCCTGACTTCCTCACGCTAGATACTCCACCCCATAGACCTCTTCTCTCTTGATGTCCTTCTTTCCCTCCTCATATAGTTTAGATTCTGTGATCCATAATTATAATCATAAATTACCTTTTTTCCCTACTTATTTGTATTATTAGCAGAGCCAGTCTAGTGACTCCATGAATGAACTCAGTGTAGGTTAAAAAGCACAGAGAAATAAGTTACAAGTTTTCAAATTATGTTTGTCGATTCACTTTGTGTGTGTATGTCCACTTTTACACATCCCACCCTAGAATTTTTGAATGATACCTGTCCTTTCTGTCTTCTCTTCCTGTCTCAGTAAGAGTAAGAGTCAGTGATACACATGTACATTACTTCTTGTTCTGGTAAAAGGAGTGACTGTCTCAGGAGTGAAGAATCAACGAGAAGCATGTATGCTATTCTACAGTCAGATAAAAGGTGGAAGTTATTTACATTTTATTTATTTATTTTAAAAGATTTTATTTATTTACTTGAGAGTGAGAGCGAGAGACCACAGAGGAAGAGAGGGAGAAGCAGACTCCCCGCTGAGCAGAGAGCCCTGACAAGGGGTTGATCCCAGGACCCTGAGATCATGACCTGAGTGGAAGGCAGACGCACTGAGTCACCCAGGCACCCCGTTATTTACATTTTAGTATGGCTGCAAGCAGGGCTAGAGTTTGTTGGCTTTTTTTCTTGCTTCAGACTTTGGAGATATCATTTCAGCTTCCTAGGTTCATCACATGTTGTTTAAGAAAAGACACCAAAGATCACTTTACACAGAAAGCTAGGATTAGGTGAGGGACAAAGGGAGAGAAAAGTGATTCTGTGTACAGCATTCTTCTTCAGCCATCAGGCCAGGGCCCAACAAGTAGATTATCTTATAGGTGAGTGTTTTTTCCTGGATGGGTTTTTTTCATCAGTCCATCCCTTTCCATGCCTGTTCCCACTTCCATACTCCAACACACACAGAGTTAAATGTCAACATAAATAGCTTTGGGCACATAAGTAAAGACAGTAAGCCTCAAATTTATTATTTATGCCATTTCCTTCGGAAGGTGAAAGTAAGTCTTTGTTAATACAGTGGCATAAAATATAGCTCAGTCAATAAGGATTTTTGATACTTAGAGGAGAGAATCATAGAGAAGGAGCATAGATCTGTAGTGTGGAGTTTATCAAAATCAGTTCTAGGTTGCTTAGCACGTACATGGTTATACATGCATTATATACATGCATGCACTCTCTGTGAACGAGAAGGGCATAACTCCTTTTCTCAGGGAGTATCTCCCTAGAGACCTTGGAAATGACAAAGGTCCTTAACTCTGAAGAGAAAGAAGCAAGCATTGTATTGCTCTCTGCTTTGGGGAAAGCATAAAAAAAATTTTCTCTCTTTTGGAGAGAAAACTCTGAAGTGTTTTCTATTCCAGCCTTTCATTGTCATCATTTCCAGTGTCTTGTTTTTAGAAAGTAATATGATGCCAGTCTGAATTGGAACATGTTCATAAGGAAAAGTTTTCCGTTTTCAACTGCTTCTGATATCATTGTAACTCCAGCTTGTGAAGATTGTGGAAAATTTCATAAAGCAAAATATAATTGAACAGAAGAGACTTACTTAGGTCCTTGTAAAAGACTCTTTTAAATTCATCAGTTTCTAACCCAGGGTTCCAGCACCCTCTCTTCTGCAAAAGATGATTGAGTATGGGTTTCTATACCTGATTCAGATAGAAAACTGGTCTGATTAGCATTTGAGTATGTATTCAATTGTAAATGAATTTCAACTGGGTGAGGTGTGAAAGCTTATTTCTTTTTTCTCCTTATTATTTATTTATTTATTTTTTGATGTAGTGTTCCATGAGTCATTGTTTGCGTATAACACCCAGTGCTCCATTCAATACATGCCCTCTTTTATACCCATCACCAGGCTAAGCCATCCTCCCACCCCCCTCCCCTCTAGAACCCTCAGTTTGTTTCTCACAATCCATAGTCTTAAATCCACGCTCATTGGGAGAATATAGGTAGTAGCCAGGAGACTTGGAAACAATACTGTTTTCTACTATTTCCTATTTCTAATGTGCAGGATTGCATGTAAATTATGGGATGATTAAATGGACTTACAGAAACTAACTCCTTTTTGAAAAAGATTTATTTATTAAAGTGTGTGCGTTAGTGTGAGCTTGCGCTGGAGTTGGGGGAGGGGCAGAGGGAGAGAATCTTCAAGCACACTCCCGTCTGAGCGCATAGCCCACCACCTGGGGCTCAATCCCAGGATCCTGAGATCATGACCTGAGCCTAGACCAAGGCATCAGTAGCCCAACCGACTGAGCCACCCAGGTGCCCCGTACCTTGTTTTAAAGTTTCTCAGTAGTTTGTTTTTTGACATAAAAACTAGCACCTTATAAATTGTGAGCAACTCCAGGATAAGGACTCTGTTTGCATTTCTAGCACCTTTCTATTACCTGGTACATATTTGGTGTTTAATAAATTACAGTTTATTAAGTTGATGAAAGCTTTCTAAAAATTAGCAATGTAAGAAATTAGGAAGAAGAAAATACCACACTTGTTTTCTTACGGCTTTTCTTTTTTTTTTTAAGATTTTATTTATTTATTCATGAGAGACAGAGACAGAGAGAGAGAGAGAGGCAGAGGGAGAAGCAGGCTCCCAAGGAGCAGGGAGCCCGATGCAGGACCCCATCCCGGGAGTCTGGGATCATGACCTGAGCCGAAGGCAGACGCTTAGCCATCTGAGCCACCCAGGCGCCCACGGCTTTTCATTTTAAAATATCTTGCTGTCTTTTACCACTTTTAGGATTTATAAATTAATGTAGTTGGAATTATTATAGAGCTATTATATTTTATTTTTAAGCATTTTATATAAATGTTTCTTTTTTAATGGTTTAGTGAAATTCCATGGAATCAATATATTATAATTTAGTGGCTCTTCCTCCCTAGTGAACAGTTGGATTATTTTCAGATGTGATTATGTGTCTGTGTTTATCATTGTTGATGTTGTAAAGGACATCTTTGTGCATATGTTTCCTGTCTTCTTAAAAATGATGTCATATAAAAATCTCAAAAAAGTATGAAATATTTATATTCTTGCCCTCATGTTGACAGTGGTTTGGAGGGGCTCACATTGGGCTTTAGTGTTTATTTCTTGAATTAACTTGAAATTATACAAAATTTTATTAATATATAGTTATTGCCAATCACTGTATTTTCTGTAAGAGGGTTGCTTACGATATGTGATTGCAGAGTTTTAGGGATCTTTTTGCCTAAATAATGAGCAGTATGGTTTTGAAAATCTTTTTCTTTTGGCAGTGTACATAGTGAGACTGCCATGAATGTATTAGCATTTTCTTGACCAGTCTCCTGAGCCTCAGTTCCCACTGAGAAACACGAAGAGGGCCAAGTAATGTTTCCACACAGTGTGGAACCCTGAATTTAGTGAACCCAGTATTTTCTTTTTTCTCTAAAGATTTAATTAATTAATTAATTTATTTATTTATTTGAGAGAGAGCGTGCATGCAAGAATGGTGGAGGGGCAGAGGGGGAGGGAGAAGCAGGCTCCCCAGCAGGCTCCTCACTGAGAAGGAGCCAGGATGCAGGGCTTGATCCAGGACCCTGGTATCATGTCCTGAGCAAAGCCAGATGCTTAACCGACTGAGCCACCCAGGCACCCCCAACCCATTATTTTCTACTGGTCACTAATCTCTGCTCTGGGGAGAGACATTATCTCTTCCAAAGCTGTCTGCAATATAAGGAAGAAGGGCAGCCAGTGCCTCTACCTAGAAGATGTGTAGAAACGTGGAGGACTCATGGAGAATTATCTCCTGACTAGAGCCCACTATTGATGGGCATTTAGATTGTGTCTAATATTTTGCTCATACTGTTATTATTGCTGCAGGGCGCCTGGGTGGCTTAGTCAGTTAAGTGTCTGACTCTTGATTTCCCGGCTCAGGTCATGATCTCAGGGTCATGCTATCAACTCCTGTGTCGGGCTCTGTGCTAGGCGTGGAGCCTGCTTAAGATTCTCTCCCTCTCCCTCTCTCTAAAAAAGCAAATAAACCCAAAAAACATTGCTGCAGTGAATTATCTTTAATACATCATTTCTTGTAAGTGGGAATATATTGTATATTTGTACAATATATTTCAAGAGCTGGAATTGTTGGCTGTGTACATTTTTTTGTTTTTTTAAAGTTGTTATTTAAATTCCAGTTAACATACACTGTAATATTAGTTTCAGGTTTACTATTTAGTAATTCAACATTTATATACAAAACCTGGTGCTCTTCACAGGTGCACTCCTTAATCCCCATCACCTTTTTAACCCCCTTCCCCTCTGGTAGCCATCAGTTTGTTCTCTGTAGTTAAGAGTCTGTTTCTTGGTTTGCCCCCCTCTTTTTTTTCCCCTATGATCGTTTGTTTTGTTTCTTAAATTCCACATATGAGTGAAATCATATGGTATTTGTCTTTTACTTATTTGCTTAGCATAATACTCTCTAGCTTCATCCACGTCATTGCAAATGGCAAGATTTTTATGGCTGAGTAATATTTCACCGTATATGTACACCACATCTTCTTTATCCATTCATTAATTGATGGACACGGGCTATTTCCATAATTTGGCTATTGTAGATAATGCTGCTATAAACATTGAGGTGCATGTATCCCTTTTGAATTAGTATTGTTGTATTCTTTTCATAAATACCTAGTAGTGCAGTTACTGGGTTGTAGGGTAGTTTTATTTTTAACATTTTGAGGAACCTTCCTCCATGCTGTTTTCCAGAGTGTCTGCACCAGTTTCCATTCCCACAAACATTGCAAGAGGGTTCCTTGCTAGCACCTGTTGTATCTTGTGTTGTTGATTTTAGCCATTCTGACAGGTGTGAGGTGATATTTTATTGTAGTTTTCATTTGCATTTCCCTGATGATGAGTGATGTTGGGCATCTTTTCATGTGTCAGTTGGCCCTCTGGATGTCTTCTTTGAAAAACTGTCTATTCATGTCTTCTGCCCATTTTTAAATTGCATTATTCAGTTTTGGCGTGATGAGTTTTAAAAGTTCTTTATATGTTTTGGATACTAACCCTTTATCAGATATGTCATTTGCAAATATCTTTTCCTGTTCCATAGGTTACCTTTTAGTTTTTTTTTTTTTAAGATTTTATTTATTTATTTGAGAGAGAGAATGAGAGAGAGCACGAGAGGGAAGAGGGTCAGAGGGAGAGGCAGACTCCCTGCTGAGCAGGGAGCCCGATGCGGGACTCGATCCCGGGACTCCAGGATCATGACCTGAGCCGAAGGCAGTCGCTTAACCAACTGAGCCACCCAGGCGCCCCACCTTTTAGCTTTTTGATTGTTTGCTTCACTCTGCAGAAGCTTTTATTTTGATGAAATCCCAGTAATTTATTTTTGCTTTTGTTTCCCTTGCCTCAGGAGACACAGTAAAAAGTTGCTACGGTCAATTGATGTTAAGGAGGTTACTTCCTGTGTTAGCATTTTAACGGTTTCCTGTCTCACATTTAGGTCTTTAATCCATTTTGAATTTATTTTTGTGTGTGGTGTAAGAAAGTAATCCAGTGTCATTCTTTTGCATGTTGCTGTCCAGTTTTCCCAATACCATTTGTTAAAGAGACTGTCTTTTTCCCACTGGATATTCTTTCCTACTTTGTCAAAGATTAAGTGACCATATAGTTGTGGGTTGTACATTTTTATTTTTGATAAATATTTCCAAATTGCCAGCCATAGAGATCATACCCACTTAGATTCCACCACTGTTTATGAAAATTCCTCTTTACTGTTCAATGCAAATGCGTCAGTCACATCTTTCTTGATATATTTTCATTAATCTAATGTTTACTTTTTATCTTTTTTTTTGTGTTTTAAAGTTACTCTTTTCAAGGGTGCCCATGAAAAATTAATACTTGCTAATGTTTTTGAATACTTACTTTGTGCCAGACACTGTACTCATTTTATCATTTGTCTATACAACAAATTGAGAATATCTGATTTTATTTAAATTCTTATCTTTATACTTAAATAATAAAGTTGTAATTAGTTTTTTAGTGAGCTGTTCTAATGTTATGTGTTTTACAGATTCAGGAGGAAGAGTGCCAACAAAGAGATGACTTTAGTGATGCAGACCAGCTCAGAGTGGGTAATGATGGGATTTTCATGCTGGCATTTTTCAGTAAGTGTTTTTTCATTTCCAAATTGTTTTTTTGCATATATTAGCTGTGTGTGTATTTAAAGTAGCATTGTGAAGAAAGGCAGATACTGTTAATGGGTGACTACTTTGTTTAAAATGTAAATTGTTCCTGATATTGAACTATGTGATCATATGATGCAATAAAAATCCTAGTATTTAGTATACTTATAACAGTGTATTACAGTCATTATGCTATTTGCTGACTATATAGAATTATATAAATATATTTAAACTATGTTTTTGCATGAGAAATGTTGCGTGTCCATGCAGTGATGTAGGAGCATGCAGAATGAAACTATAAATTCTGCTTTTGGAGCAAAGGACTTCCATTTGAGTGTCTTTAAGCAGGAACAAGGGTTAGAAAAGGAAATATTCTGGGCATCTGGAACAATGTGATTCGAGACACGAAAGAATGCAAATATATCTTGTTTGGGGGAATGGTAAGGAATTAGAAGACCAAAAACCTAAGTATGATTTTTTTAACATGTAGCAGAATTCTTAAATACCTGAATTTATAAAGTGGACTTTATACTTTGAGGGAAGACTGTGTTACAGTCTATTATTTCAGTTCCTAACACGGGGATTGGCAGAGAGTATACTCAATACATAATATTATGATACTTCAATTGTTTAATTGCTAAAATTAAGTTTTTGAAATCCAATATTCCTATAAGTATATTTATTAGACTAGATATGGTAAATTTCTGCCCTCAACCTGGTTAAATGATCAAGCTCTCATAGAATGCTGATTTAATTCATTTTAAGTATAAAATTTATTTTGATAAAACTAAGAAATAGTTTTCTTATTTAAAGTATCATGTTCAACTTTAAAAACAAAATACAGAAAATACATACCTTGAGCTGAGTTACTTTTGAGTCTGGGAAATCACTAATCCTCCATTTTGAAATGGTTTCTTGCTTCTTTTCCTTCTTTCATTTCATCTGCTGAAGAATAGAAGTAGATAACCACTCAGAAGTGGGTCGGTGAGTGGGAAAGCAGTTACATTTTTCTCTTCAAATTTAGTAAATTATGTTCTGCTTGGCAACCAGCTAATGTATATGCAATATTTAAATCTTGTGTCTTTAGTTAAAATTTGTAGTTAGATATGATGGTAGGTACCATGGAAGGGAAAAGAACACTTGACTACAAATAACTACTGTTTTGTACTATTAGTCTAGTAAATGTTAGTTTTTTCCTTAGTTTTAGTTCAACGGGTAACCCTTTATTATTCATAACAGGCTTCCCACATATTTTGTTTATAAAAAGAGTAGTGTCAATAGTAATTCCTTTAATGGTTATGTATTTTAAAAATCTTAATTGGAAAAGGAAATTTAAGTTTATTGTGCTATATGTAGTATAAATACCTGTCTCTTGGTATAAAAATGTGATTTGATACCATCTATATGACTCAGCTTAGTGATTATTTCTCCATTTCTGTATTTCACTTAATCCTATCTTCTTTTTAGCCCCCCCCCCCTTTTTTTTAGATTTGGAAACATTTTGATGATAAAACAGTGTTGCAAATGTTTGGTAACCTACACACTTAGTTGCTTTTATTTTTGACTTGTGTATTAATACGAAGATACATATTTCATGTATTTAGTGTAAATTACCTGCTTTTACTACATTTTTACTAAATGATATCTTTATAACTTATTTTTTTTATGTTCCCTATTCTACAAATATTGCACCAATATTATAAGAGTAAAATTATGAATTATTTTTGGACTTCATTTCTTGATATATTTTTTTCTGGTAGGTTGTAGGCCAGTGTTTGTATTTGCTTTGATAAGCATAGATTTATTTGTAATCACTACCATCTAGTGGCTACTCTTCAAATTGCAGCTTGCTATATTTTTCATGCTTCATCTAGTAGCTGTTTATTTAGATTCTATTCTTTTTTCTATTTCTGTGGTTCAGAAACAGATTTTCTTTTTAAAATTTTATTAAGTTTTTAAATTTAATTTCAGTATAGTTAATATATGGTGTTATATTAGTTTGCAGTGTACAATATAGTGTTGTGACTCAGCAGTTCTCTTTGCTCAGTGCTCATCATGATAAGTGTACTCTTAATCCCCTTCACCTATTTCACCCCCCCACCCCACATCCCCTCTGGTAACCATCAGTTTGTTCTCTATAGTCTGTTTCTTGGTGTATCTCTCTCTCCGCACCCCCCCTTTTTTTACTTGTTTGTTTTATTTCTTAAATTCCACGATGTATTTGTCTTTCTCGGACTTATTTCACCTAGCATTATACTCTCTAGCTCCATCCATGTTGTTGCAGATGGCAAGATAACATTCTTTTTTATGACTGAATAATATTACTTTGTGTGTGTGTGTGTGTGTGTGTATGTACATCTTTAGCCATTCATCTATCGAAGGACACTAGGGGCTGTTTGATAATTTGGCTATTGTAAATAATGCTGCAGTAAACATAGGGGTGCATATATCCTTTTGAACTAGTGTTTTCTTATTTTTCGGGTAAATACCCAGTAGTGTGATTACTGGGTCATAGGATAGTTCTATTTTTAACTTTCTGAGGAACCTCCATACTGTTTTCCACACTGACTGCACCGGTTTGCATTCCCACCGACAGTGCATGAGGGTTCCTTTTTCTCCACATCCTTACCAACACCTCTTGTCAGAAACAGATTTTCTTTAACGTGGTTTATAACTTAAATATTTCAGGTATAATAAGTTGTGTGAATAAAACTACAGTGAATATCAATAAGAATATTTCAAATTAGAACTTTATGATGGTTTAATTCTTCACTTCTCTCTTACAGCATCCACATTTCCATCTCTTACCACATGTAATCCTAAACAAATTTACACATAAATTTGGTATAATAATTGCATGTTCATGTTCAGAAAATATAAAGAAAGAAAGATATGTATCCTTGATAATTTTTGCTTCTCATAATCCCTTGAAGTGTCAGAGCAGAATGCCTCATACGTACTTGTATCTGATCTTATTTTTAAGAGTTTTTAAAAGAGTGGAATGGAAGTCAATTATTTGTTAGTTAAAAGCTAGAAATTAAGATTTAGTCCACTGGATAATTGATAGTCTGCGGAAATGACCTTGGACTATAATGCTTAAAAATGTAATAGACTCTGTTTAAGAAATTTTGTACCATGTGTGAATCTTCAGAATTGAAGAATATGCATGCTATAGTAAAAATTAATCACCTGTATTATTCCCATTTTACTTTATCTTTATTTTTTTAAAGATGTATGGATTTGAGAGAGAGCATAAGTGGGGGGGGCAGAGGGAGAGGGACAGAGAGAATCTCAAGCAGACTCCCTGCTGAGCACAGAGCTCGACGTGGGGCTCGATCCCACAAATCCCTAAGATCATGACCTGAGCCAAAATCACAAGCTGGACGTTTAACTGAGCTCACAGGAGCCCCCATTATTCCCATTTTAGACTTGAGGGAAACACATTTAAAGACATATTAAATTGTAATTTTAAAAGGAATTAGAATATTGTTTTGAAATGTGAATTCTGAATTGTAAGAAATTGCCAAACTGTGTTACCAAAGTGGCTGTACCACTGTGCATTCCCACCAGCAGTGAGTTTCTGTTGCTCTGATCCTCACTAGTATGTGGTACTGACAATTTTTAAAATTATAGCTGTTCTAATAGATGTGTGGTAGTATCTCATTGTGGTTCAATTTGCATTTCCCCAAGGATTGATGATATTGAGCATCTGTATTCACTAATAAGCAGTTTTGAGCACCTACCATGTACAAGTCATAAAAGTTAAAATTCTTGAAGAGATTGTCTGGGCATCACACATACTGAAAAACAATACATTGATGACTTGTTCTGTCCAGATAGAGCTGGGTTTATAATTATATAGCTTTCAGGTGATGTTGTAGATGGTAAGTGAATCCAGAAAAGGAACACTTAAGAATTGTAACTACAGGGCACCTGGGTGGCTCAGTTTAGCGTCTGCCTTTGGCTCAGCTCATGATTCCAACGTCCTAGGATTAAGCCTTGCATCAGGCTCCCTGCTCAGCGGGGAGTCTACTTCCTCTCCCTCCTTCCCCCCCCCAACCGCTTGTGCATGCAGTCTCTCTCTCTCTCTCAAATAAATAAAAATCTTTAAAAAAAAAAAAAAGAATTGTAACTATACCTTAAGAAACTCATGTAGTATTTGTGAAGCATTAAACTTGTTTACAAGAAAAAATTTGTTTTGGTCATCTCATTGCTTATAATTTAGCTGAAATGTCTTAAAACTAATAAATTGTTAGCATCATGTCTTTCTTAATGGCTAATTGTTTAAATGAGGAGAATTGTTTGAGGATAAGAGAGAAATTTACCTGTATGCAATTCAGAATTAAGTTTAGTGAAATTGATTCCTTGTCTAGGAACTTGATGTCTTTGAAACCTAGTGCATTTATATGTATTAAGAATTTTTCTGTGATTGAAGAAATAAGTGTTCATTGTTAGGATCATATGTATATTCATTTATGATTTTCTTTTGTTTATTTTCAAAACAAGTATCAGATTTTTAAAAATTTAAAACTTTTTAAACTTTACATCTTTAAATTTAAAACTTAGGAAAAATTTGCAAAAATAATACAGTTGCCATGTAACTTTCATCTGGCTTTCTCAAGTATTAACATTTTATGTAACATCAGTGCAATGATCAATATTAGGAAATTAACATTATGAAATAGTACTAACTAGTTTACAGACCTTATTCAAATTTTACCAGTTGTCCCATTGGTGTTCTTTTTTTCTTTTTTTTTTTTTAAAGATTTTATTTATTTGTTTGACAGAGACACAGCAAGAGAGGGAACACAAGCAGGGGGAGTTGGGAGAGGGAGAAGCAGGCTTCCCGCAGAGCAGGGAGCCTGTTGTGGGGCTGATCCCAGGACCTCGGGATCATGACCTGAGCCGAAGGCAAGACACTTAATGACTGAGCCACCCAGGCACCCCCCATTGGTGTCCTTTTTATAGTCCGGGATTATATATTGTATTTCATTGCCATTTTGCTTTAGTCTGTTCTTAATTGAAGAACAGTTTTTTAGTCTTTATTTCTTATGACTTTGATTCTTTTGAAGAATATAGTCCGGTTGTTATGTAGAATGTCTCTCAATTTGGATTTACGTGATATTTCCTCATGATTAGATTTAGGTTATGCATTTCTTCTTTCCTCTTCCCCTTCTTCTTCTTCTTCTTCTTTTTTTTTTTTTTTGTAAGAACACCATAGAAATGATGTGCCCTTCTCAGTGCATCATATCAGGAGGTAGTGATCTATAGTTATGTCTTACTGCTGGTGATGCCAACTCTCATCAGGTTAAGATGGTGTCTGCCAGCTTTCTTCACTATAAAGTTTTCCCCTTTGTATTTAATAAGTATCTTGTGGCTTTTGGAAATTTAAAAGTAAAGTCTTATTAGTTAAAGGATAAACTGTAGTGTACAATACTGCTTTCTAGGTTATCCTGCTCCCCTCTTTATGTAGGTTGGTGGTATAATAAAAAGGTTACTGGAGAAGTGAAAGACCTGGATGCTCCTGTCTTACTATACCTCTTGCTTTGCGAGTTTATGTGGCACTTCACTGTTCTAAGTCTCCATTTCTCCTTCTGTAAATGGAATTAATTCTGACCTTGCCCTTCTTAAAAGACTAATGCGAGGATCAGTTAAATTAAAATATGTGAAATGTCATAAATTATAAAGTGCTGTTAGGTGAAGGTAGTAGTAATGTTCTCCTGCATCCTTACCTGAGCATTCACCTTTTACGTGATTTAAAGTGATTGGTAGCCTTCTTTCAAATGTCATTAACCCGTCTGACTCACTTTCTTATAAAGAAGCACTGGGAAGGTAAATGTGGAAAGTGTAATTGGAGCAACAGTAAGCATTCTTTTTACCAACTTTTCTGAGTTAATTGCTCTGCTTCCTGCTGCTTGCTACCCCAAATCTTACTTTTTCTAAGGAATATAGGCTATATAAGACTTTTGCTTCTTTGGATTCCATGTTGGGCCTTACTGTGTGGGGAATAGGTGCTGTACACCTTTTAAGCTTCCTAATTTGTCTTAGGTTTCCAGGGAAACATGGCATGAATGAAGTAGAGCTAAGAGAAAAGTGTTCGTGTCTTTTTTTCTAGAGGCATTTATATGTTTGCCTGCCTCTACTATATGTTCCTAATTTTATGGATTTTATACACTTAAGGTTTAGCATACATTTATTAAATTCTCTTTTGCCGACTCAGGCATGTCATAGAGGATTTAGAATTGAATGCTTCTGCCCTTTCTGTATTTTAAGGACCTGTTCAGCTTTATTTGCTACCTTATAGGCCAAGGGACCTAAAAAGTGTATCTATGCTTGAGTCGTCACCAACTTCACTGTTTTCCCCAGTGTTTAACCCAGTTACAGAAGGATAAAGTTATGTATTAGTCTCCTAGAGCTGCCATGACAAATACCATCAACTGGATGGTTTAAATAGTGGAAATTTATTTTCTCACAGTTCTGGAGACTGTCTAGAAGTCCAAGATCAAAGTGCTGGAAAATTAGGGTTTTGGTGAGGATTCTCTTCCTGGCTTGTGGACAGCTGTCTTCTTGCCATTTCCTCCCATGGTCTCTTGCCTACGTGTGGGTGGAGAGAGAGCTCTCTGGTGTCTCTTTTCTTCCTATAAGGACACCAATCCTAGTGGATAAGGGCTCTACCTTTATAACCTTAATTATCTTCTTAAAGGCTCTGTCTCTAAATATAGTCACACTGGTTAGAGCTTCAGTCTGAATTTTGAGGAGACACAGTTCAGTCCATAACACATTATATTACATGAGCACAGCTTCTAGGAATCCATACTGCTGGCAGAGAGCAAAAAGAAAACACAATGACTTAGTAGGTACTTTTTTGTTACTTTGTATCTTATTTCTGATGTGAGTACAATTATATGTATAGTAGATATTGGTAAATCTGTTTTGAGGAAAACAGTGTTTGAATTAATTTTCCCCAAAACTAAACATACACACACTCAAAGGTAAAAATGCACTTTTGGAATATTTTGCTGTTCTGTATTTTCTCCATCAGTGCTTCCTGTGTTTTAACAGCATGACATGCTTACAAAATGATGGAATGTTTATAGCACGCGGGATCCAGGAATAAGGTGCTCAGGGCTGGTGGCCGTCTTGCTTTGCCCAGATCTCACCTGCCTGCTGAGGAGGAAGAGAGGAGCTCGCTCAGCCTGTCACTAGCATATATATGGGACACCGGTTTGGGAGTCTCTGCTGCTGTTCATTAATGCACATTATGTATTTTAAAGAGATATCAACTTATTTTTTGATCAGCTGTTGCATGTTTTTCTCCACAGATAACACAGATATTAACCAATTAGATGTAGAGCAGCTGTATCTAATAGTGTATTATTCTTTGATCATGGAAATAATTCTCTCCGCTGTCCAATATGATAGCTACAAGCTAAATGTGACCATTGAACGCTTGAAATGTGGCTAGTGTGACTGAGGGACTAAATTTGAAATTTCATTTACTTGAAATTTATTTATTTATTTTTTAAAGATTTTATTTATTTATTTATTTGAGAGAGAGAGAATGAGAGATAGAGAGCACGAGAGGGAAGAGGGTCAGAGGGAGAAGCAGACTCCCTGCTGAGCAGGGAGCCGGAGGCGGGACTCGATCCTGGGACTCCAGGATCATGACCTGAGCCGAAGGCAGTCGCTTAACCAACTGAGCCACCCAGGTGCCCTCATTTACTTGAAATTTAAATAGCAACCTTTGTAGAGTTAGTGTGGGTTCCTGGAGCAAGTAGAAAAAGCAGTGTGGCTGGTGGAATTAGATAGCACAGATGTAGAAGATAGCCGAGTACTGATCAGTATCTAGGTTTACAAAAAAGAAAATGTGGAGTGTGAGCAAGTTTTATTTCCAGTAGTGTCTCCTGAATTTTTTCTTTTTTGCAGAAAAGATACAAGCTACTCTAAAAATATCATTTTGTATGGGTAGTAATAATGGTTAACATTTCTTAGCAGTCACCATGTGCCAGATTCTATACTGTGCTAAGCTAAGCTCTTTAAAAATTCATTATCTCACTTAATCCCCTTATCAGACTTGTGAAATAGGTTCTGCCAATCAGAGAATTGTGGCTCGCGGAAGTTAGCAGTGAGTCTAGTGGGTGATATATGTCACACTGTGGCTCAAACACATCTCTTATTTCAAAATTCATTCTCCTGACTATTGTACCATGTAACATAGCTTGCCATAAATGACCAAGAAAACTGTGCCCAGAAGGCATTAGGAAGGAAGAAATTATAGGAGTAGGGGAATTGCTTTGAAGAAATAGCTATTTCATTTAAACCTATCCTAAAATGTTTCCTCTTTGTCTTCAGAATTCTGAAAAATCAGCATTTCTCTAGGTAATTTACTTTGTTTCCCTGAGGGTAGGTTAGAAATACTGAAGGTAAGAGGATGGGCACTGAACAGGACCAGAGTTCTGCTCAAATTGATCTTCAGTTTTATTATCGTTACTGTTCTTATTTTGATAATGTTAATATCTTGGACACAGGGCACTCTGATTATCTCAAGGACCTGTGTTAAAATGGTTTCTGCTACAAGTAACAGAAAACCCTTACTCGGCTGTCTTAAATAGAATATTATCTCACAAACCAGAAAATCCATAGGCAAGCAGATAGACAAGCAGACCTCAGCCACAGCAAGTGTCAGTTCTAAGGCTCTGCTTTTCTTTGATTTTCTTCACTCCCTAGCCCTTGTGGAGTTAACACGTTAATCCTCAGGCTGATAGTAGAATCCAGGCAGAAGTTCCAGATGTTATATCCAAACTAGTCATCTACTGGATAAGGAGTTTTTTTGTTTTTGTTTTTAAAAAAAAACATTGTAGAAATTCTCAAACTAGGCAAGAGTATAAATAACCTCTGTGTATTTATCACTCAGTTTCAACAATGATCAACCTAGAGCCACTGTTATTTAACCTATATTCCATCCTCTATCTCCTTGATGTGTTTTTAAGAACCAAAGAATGCTGTTCAGAAGTCCTATTTAAAAAAAAAAATGGCAGGGAGTTTTGGCCTCCTGTGATTTTTCCCAGACCACTCAGGACCCACCTTTTCGGGTTAAAGTATGGGGTCCATACTTATGGATGCTCTGTAGGTGGGTGGGATCCTGAAAAGGGGGAAAAGCAGGTTTCAGTAGGTAGCATGAAGAGGCAATGAACACTACCTTCTCTGGAAGTATTTTATAATTTATTTGGCTCATCTTTAATATTGCTTTTAAAAAATGCAGTTTAGTTGGCTGATTGCTTAGGTTGGAATTCTTGGGTGGGATCACATGGGAGTTACCTTGTGACTTGGTTTTTTAGGTGGTTTAAAAATGTAGTTTCACCTATTGGTGGTAAGTTTTAAGGAATTGATTCCTATTGATCAAATTGACAAGAAACCAAGCTTACCTGTTTGTTAATGTATAGTTAATAACTAATATATTTGCAAAGGTATAGTCTATTAAACAAGACTTAATTGGTACAGTCAAGAGAAAGGGAATTGTTATTTCCATGGTGCAATGAAGTATTGTTAATATTATGTCTGTTAATTTGTTTCCAAAGTGTGGTCTTTAAAAGGACTATTTTTCTTGCTTTTAGTGGCATTTATTTTCAACTGGCTTGGATTTTGTTTATCCTTCTGTATCACCAATACCATAGCTGGAAGGTATGGTGCCATCTGTGGATTTGGACTTTCATTGATCAAATGGATTCTTATTGTTAGGGTGAGTGTTTTAATAGCCTCTATCACTTCTATTTCATTAAAATACATGAAATTTCTCGTGTGGTTCATAAATGTTCATTTTACATATATGAATCAATTATTTTGAGACTTATTCTTAACCCTTTTAGACTTATTATTGTAGTGATCTCTGTGGTGTGAACATTTTGTAACTTTATTACATGAGAGCTTGTTACTACATGGAAAGCTTTGAAGTCAAAAATTTGAGTTTGAATCTTATTTATATTTATATCAGTGTTTTAACTTTACGTTTTTAAATTGTTGTGAGCATTTCTTCATAATAAGCTGGTAGTCCTGACTTTCAGGATTTCTGTGAGGCCTAGAGGTAATACAATTCAAGCACTTGTCCAGTTGCTGCACAAATGCATGTGCTCAGTAAACCAGGCTGCGGCTGTTGTGATACAGCGCGGGCGTGCCTACCACCCGTTAAAACAGAACATTTTCTGTTGGTTAGTAGAAGTCTCAAGGACTTAATTACCCTCTCACTCTTTCTTTTGGTAACATTAAGAGCTCACAAGTTAACTAAGGCCTCTGAGGTGGCTACCAGAACTGACCTTTTTTCCCCTTATGTTCCTTCTCCACCTTTCTTATTTCCCTGTTGTTTCTGGAATTTACCCTCTGTCTACTTCTTATCACTTACAAGATGGTGTGTAGGGAGATAATCCTAAGTCCTTTTCTTTTTCCCATCTCAGCAGCTTGTCCCAAAATAATTTTCTGTAACCATTCCATCAGCAGTACTGTTGTTAGCGTATTCTTCCCCCAGCTCTTTACCTTTGCCTATTGAAGACCCCTTTTGGCTCCTTTTTACAAAGCTTTGTCCCTAGTTTCTTTAGGATAAGGCCTAGGAGAATGATCAAGAGTGGTTTTGGGGCACCTGGGTGGCTCACTAGGTTAAGCATCCATCTTTCGATCTCAGCTCAGGTCTTGATCCTCAGGGTCATGAGTTAAAGCCCTGCGTAGGGCTCCACATTGGGCCCCACACCACAGAGATCACTACACGACACTATCACTTAAAAAAAAAAAAGAGTGGTTTTATTGATTGTTTTAGTAAGTTTTCTTAAAAGTAACCCACATATTTAAGTGCTACTATACAATTGATAAAATGCATAATTTCTACAAATCATATTTATTTAAACATTGATTTCTAATTGAATGAGTCAGATCCTCAAATATTCTGTAGAATCACATACTAAAATGTCAGCTTTTCTTAAGTGCTTCAGACACTTCAGTTATGCACCTACATTACCACATTGATTCAAGAAATTAAAACTGTGGACCTAATGTGTTTCTTCATTATTTTTAAACTTACTGCTTCCCAGAGTATCTTATCAGACCTTATCTCTGTTCAGACCAGATATAGATTTTGGTTATTAATCAGTTGATTCTTGGGTAGTACCTAAGACTTGCCGCCTTCTCAGATGATCAAAATCTGAGCCAATGTAAGAACAGCCCCCTGGCAGATTCTTTTTCTAATTTCATTTTTAAAAATGTGAAGTGGGAGCACTTAGGTGACTCAGTCAGTTAAGCGTCTGCCTTCGGCTTAGGTCATGATCCCAGAGTCCTGGGATCGAGTCCCATGTCAGGTTTCCTGCTCACTGGGGAGTCTGCTTCTCTCTCTCTCTCTCTCTCCCTCCCTCCCTCCCCCCTTTCTCCCTCCCTCTACCCTTCCACCCCTGCTTGTTCTCTCTCTCAAATAAATAATATCTTAAAAAAAATAAATAAAAATGTGAAGTGAATTCCCACTATAATCATAAATCTGTTAAGGTGTTAGGGAGCATACAAAGATAAAGCACGATCCCTGCCCTTGCAGAAGTTATTACTAGGAAAACCTCAACAGAGTTGAAACTAGATGTGTCCAGTGGTTATTATTATGTTAGTAATAGAATTAATTACTATTATTCAAATGGATTTCTTAGTCACAGAACACAGAAAATGATTTGAGGATTGTTTTCTCAACTCTTCTAAACTTAGTAAGTTTGTGTATTCTAGATTCATTAAAAAAAAAGTCCAATCCATTATATGCAACCTGTGCTGTTAGGGTATTAGGGCCTAATTCTCTTATAGTACCCCTAGTTGAGAGGGGTTTGTTTATCTAGTAATTAACTCCATCTGATGTGATAAGATGGGGAACTTAAATTCAAATACTGGGGATTGCATCAAGTTTGATCACCAGAACTGTTTCGTTTCCCTTTAAAATACCACTGCTGAGGGGCACTGGCCGACTCAGTCAGAAGAGCATGTGACTCTCAATCTTGGGGTCATGAGTTCAAGCCTCACGTGGGGTGTAGAGATTACTTAAAAAAATAAACTTTTAAAAAAACCACATAAAATGTGCCTTTAAAAAAATAAAATACTGCTACTGGGTTAAAGTTAATATTATGCCTTTAGTGTGTATTGAGAATCTTTTAAAAATCTTTTGTATCAAATAATAATAGCTGCATTTCATTGAGTACTTACTGTGTTGCAAACAATTCATCACAAACATCAAATTCTTGACTCCTGCTTGTATCAGTGATGCTCATGATAATCCAGGCATTTTATTGACGATAAAAGCTAAGAATAAAAAAAGTCAAATAACTTGCTCAATATCCCACAGTTTGTTGGATTAGATTCTAGCTTGGTCTCAATTCCGTGCCTGTTCTCCTAATTCTGTCCTGCCTCTGTGACACTGTACTTGGACTTTTATTATAATGCTCTAAGCAATAAATGCCCTGTGAAGTGCTGAGAAAAAGGTTTTCTCCTAAAAGCCTGATGTTTTATTTTATTAGACAATAAGTAATTTATAAATCATACTGTAGCTTTTCTTTTTGTTTCTGAGTTTCCATTTACTTAGATTTAAGTTAAATATCTTTAGCTGATTCTGGTATTATTATTTCTGTCTAAGGCTTTTGATGTTTTTATTGTTTATTTAAAAATGAATATGTTTTTTTAAAAATTAACAACTCTTTTTGAAAGTAGACAGGATATAAACAAACTACTGGTGTTATATTAATAAAACAAAATTAGATAAATTCTTAGTGTCAGTTAATTTATTTTCCAAAATTTGGTTTTTGCATCCTGTGATTGGCCAGTCAACATGATTGATTTACTCATTAAAACCCCCAACCTGGCTCAGCCCTCTGACTATTGGTATTTTAAAACATTTTTACTTACTCAGTAATGAACCCAAAAACTCATTAGTTTATCCTTTTTACATAGTGAGTCTTTCTTTGACTTCACGGTGAAAGTGATTATATTTTTTCATTTGGGAGTAAATAAAGACTAGCTTTCGCAAATATTTTTGGTGAAGAATGATGTTCTTACTTTTCTGGTTGCCTCTTGCCAGGTAATATTATTTATTTAAGTATATTCTACAATATATTTAAAAATTAGAAAGTTAAAAATGTGTTGCTTTGGTTCTTTATTTCTTTTCATTCTTAAAGACTCTAAAACCTATATGAAAATCTTTTATTTCTAATTATTAATCACTTGATTAAAAAGTGTAGTGCAGTCCTACTTTACCAGCTATATTTCCCCAGTTGTTTAGTTCTCCCTTGTACATATTTTAAAGATGTAGGAGTGTGTGGGATCTGCATCTATAATGATACTTTAAAAATTTTAAACTTTGAAACTTCTAAAACCCTCAGCCGAAAATTTAGATTATGGTTCATTTATTAATTGTAAATACTTCCTGTAGAAATACTTAAAAAGTTTTAAAAAACAAATTTAGATAATCATTAGTACATATGCTTCCTCAATAGTGACATTATTTACAATTTATAAGTACTTTATTACTAAACCTGTAGGATTTTTATTTTATTTTATTTTATTTTTTTAAGATTTTTATTTATTTATTTGACAGAGAAACACAGCGAGAGAGGGAACACAAGCAGGGGGAGTGGGAGAGGAAGAAGCAGGCTTCCCACTGAGCAGGGAGCCCGATGCGCGGCTCGAACCCAGGACCCTGGGATCATGACCTGAGCCGAAGGCAGACGCTTAATGACTGAGCCACCCAGGCGCCCCTAAACCTATAGGGTTTTTAAACTTTTGTGGAAATTACCAATGAATAGTTGGAAATAATTACCAAAATAAAGTTGGAGATACTTTTAATTTCAGATTTGAGGGCAAATCTCCATTTGACAAAATCATTTTTAGTTAGATTCGGTTTGGAGGCCAATGAATGGAAACAGAGTAAATAAAACAAAGTAAATTTTAGTGGTTTTAGACTAGGTTATATTAAACACTTTCAAAATATAACTTTGGAAAATTGTTTAGGTGCTAAAGGATAACAGGGAAGAATTATCTGAAGTAACTGAAAAAAATTAGATTGACTTAAAAAAATTTTTTTTAAATAATAAATCATGACATCCAGAGGTTAAGCAAGGAAAAGATACCTGTGTTCAGTATCACCAGACTCTGCCTTCCATCTGCCTATTCATACACTCATTTCACAGGGAATATAAAACTGTCAACCATGGTCACTAATAGGAACTGTTGAAATGCCACTTCAAGGTTCATTTAGCTGTTCTTAGCTTACTATTGGGAACTGAATACTGGAGCATCTAGTTTGAAAATAAAAAGACTCTAATGAGTTGGGGGTCTTTATGTGCCTAGTATTCTTGGCAGTGATTAACAGTAGGGGGTGTACAGAAGGTCAAAAGCTCTTCTTTTTAGAGGTCAGCTGAACATCCCCATCTGATAAGATTAAACTAATGTGGCTTTTGGTGTTAATATCTAAAGCAGCGGGTTGCTGTAGTGTGTTTGGGATGGTAGTTGTGGCTTTGAGAGATTATGAAAAAAGAACTGACATGTGAACTCTTTAATGAGAAAGTTGGATTCAGATATATAGAATTTACCTTTCTTTCTTACAATTTTGAAACTGATTTTTGTTTTTAAAATACTTTGTATAAGTTTGTTAGCTATTGTATACAAGATTTTAAAGAGTTTGTTTCCTCAAATAATTATGTATGTCATTAAGTATTTTTCTCTTTGTGTTGTTTTAAGTGCAAGAGATGATTTGAGGTAAATTGTTCTGAAACTGAGGCTAATCTATGATTTTCAAATTTAGGTACATAAATAGGGTTAATATATTTATGTTCACTCCATAGTTTTCTGATTATTTTACTGGATATTTCAATGGACAGTATTGGCTTTGGTGGATATTTCTTGTACTTGGTAAGTTTGTTTCTAATGCATTTCAGTTTTTAATTTGCATTTAGTTTAACTTTGGTATTTCCCCAAATTGTAAGACATAAATACATTGTGTTGAAACTTAGGTGGAAATAATTTTTCTACTGTAAAATTCTCATATCCAAATACTCAGCTATTTGGATAATTATACATTGCACTCGAGATTTCTGATTGAAAACCCAGAGCCTGTCAATTTAAAAAATCAGTGGTTGGATGATAATTGAATATCACAAAACTTGAAAATCCTAAAATGATTAAAAAAAATTGTCTTTAGCATTTATTTTGGAAAATATACATGCATAATTTCTTTTAACAATCCTAGGATATGTTGAGAGTAGGATAGTTGGATGTTCTATGCATTTTCTTATTTTTGGAACATTGAAACATTCTTTATACTTTTAAAATGTACCCTGCATTAATCATTAATCAGCTAGGCATAAGAAGGCTTCATGCCCAACGATCACAGTACTTCTGTTGAGTTTTCTTTTTACAAGGCATGTCTTTTTGTTAATATTGATGAATTTTATGGATTTCCAATTTTTGTTCCCTGGTGATTGTCACTCTAGATGTATGGTAAATTAATCTCAAAATCACATAATGCCTTTAATCCACATTTCAGATTTATTTACTGACATGAAGAATATCCTCTCTACTTAGGTTTAAAAGCCCACATTTCTGTAGTAACGTAATTGTACCAGAAAATAATAGCATTTCAGTAGGTGGCAGTGTTCTCATTGAGTTTTTGTTCAGTCCTGGTATTGGATCTTTAGGATCTTTAGGGAAACAAATTCTTAGTGGTCAGTTAAGGTCACTAAAGATCTTGTATTCTTTTAACAATTATAGTGAAATTATTCTAGTGTTGTGATTTTGGTTAGGGAGCCAGATCTTTACAAGGGTTTAGGCAGTTATTTGTATTGTTAATTGTGTTCTGACTGCCTGAATTCTGTGCTCGTTATTGAGTTTCTTAGTTAAAAGTGAAAAAATATATGAAGTCTTTTAGGTATTTAAGCATATTAAATGAGTGTATTTGCTTCTAAATATATTATTAAGGATTGGATGTTAGGAAGACAATTATAGGGCCCAGTGAAATGCAGAGGACCACCCCCCATTTCCACATCAGAACCACAATCTAGCATTTAGGGAATTGTGAAAACTTAATCCATGATAAAAATATTGCTCTCACATATACTCAGAAGAATGTTGAGTACATTGTAGAACACTGAGAAACAATAGCTGCTGAATGATTGGTTTCTAGATATGAACTGGTTTATTTTAGAAAATGCCTGAGCAGGACAAAATAGTCTTAGAAACTGTAGTTTTCTTAGACAAAAGGAGGGATTTCATAAATAATTTTGGTTTATATTTTTCAATAATACTTCTACATTTGGATCACGATACCATTATCTTTGAACAGCATCTGGAAGGACATGAGGGTGGAATTCAGAGTGGGAGTCACAAATGGAAGGAGTTAGGATATGGGAAGCAGATGGGCTCAGATTTAGCTGAAATTTATACCACTTGCTTTAGTCATTATTTGTATATCTTCCTATCTTTTCTCTTTATTATAACCATGCTTTTTTTTAGTGCTTTGGTTACTGTCTTGGAGTCGGAGTACAAATTTAGTTTGGGACTTTGCATTTTTAAATCGACAGACTCCTCCTCTCGACGAGGAAAGTTACATGCGTGTATATCTTCTGTTTTTCTGTTTTTGTTTTGTCCCCCGCCCATTACCTAGTTAAACATTTACTGAAGTTAATAAATGTTTCCCTTAGAATTCTATGTTTGATAAGTATATCAAAGAATTTACTAATAATGGTAATGCTTTTTATATTTAGCTAATATTTTTCATCTGAAACTTTGAAGCATTTCACAGGCATTGTTTTATTAATTACTAAGGATTCCTGTTATGTAAATGGTTGTTATTTAAAAATCCTGTTAAAGAGAATACTGATAGATATAAGATCTATCCCAAATCATTTAATAAATCACTAGAGTGGTTGCTTCCCAATTCTTTCCTGATTCTTCTTATCTAAATTTGTACTATAAATTAGTCTTTTGTGAATACTTGAAAATAAGAACCAATAATTAAAATTATTTACATAACATATATCTTCAAATACAGATTTCACAGATGACAGGCACTTGATATTGTTAGAGAGGCTTATTGGTTTTATCCCACGATTGTTAGAAAATTACTTGAATATATTTTCTTGAATACTTTCTATCAGTAAATATGTCTTAGTTTGCTTAGTAGTTGTATTAATTGGAAAGTTTCCTATAAAAATGGGATTTCCCTGAGTTGAATCAGCTTAAATGCATTAGGTAACTTTGTTATTAAAAGAAATCATGGAATAAATATATTTTTGTGTAATTCTGGATTTTCATGGCTGGATTTGCTTTACTTTAATTTAGATACATCTGGACTTAACAAATTGAAAGAATTTGGGGAGGCAGTAAACTTCTTTATATTTTTCATGATGGTTATTATCGTTATAGTGTAAAATATATTACGGAATGAGTAGAATTTTACAGATTAAATTCCTTAAGCCAAGAGGATCTTGTTTATAATTGTCTGTTTTAAATTGATGCCCTCTCCGTATAAGAACATAATGGCTCTGTATTACTTTAACCGTTTCAGGCCTGCTTCTTTTCTTCAGAGGATTTGTTAATTATCTAAAAGTCAGAAACATGTCTGAAAGTATGGCAGCTGCTCATAGAACAAGATATTTCTTCTTATTATAGAGGTAAGAAATATTAATAGAGAACTCTGTTTCCTTCATGTGTTCTTATTCACCAGATGACTATTATGTGTACTTACGTTGTTTACTTAGACTTAGCATATTTAATATATTGTTATACTGTTAACAGTCAACTAATTAAGATTCAGTATGTTGTGAACTTTTTAAGATTTTTAAAAATTGAATTTCATAAATTTTAATTTTTTAAATATATTATGAATATAAAAACTTTTAAGTCAGACTTTTTAAACTTCTTTTTAAAAGATTAACCACAGGATGTAAGTAACTATTAGCACACAGTTTAAAGGCTTGAAAAACAAAATACGACAAAGCACTTACACAGAAGGGATGGGCATTTTGTATAAAATAATGTGAAATCCACAGACATGTGGTAAACAAAACAAAAAACAAATTTGTGGTTGAAAAGAAATTTTCCATGCACTGATCTTAACAAACTAGATCAAAGAATAAAAGTTATGTGAAGAAAATGGGAGCTCTCATAGTTTCCTTAATGTCTGTCAGATTGTATCAACAATGAAGGCTTCAACTTGAGTAAATGGGAATAAAGAAATGAGCAGAGGTTGTCTTACTAGTTATTAACCCAGTGAGTTTCTGGAGGTTGCATGCGGCTAGCTAGTAGTTTCTTCACATGAGGAGACCTCATATCTCTATTTTCTATAATAGACTTTTTGTTATTTAAAAACAGTTAACATACAATGTTATATTAGTTTCATATGTACAACATAGTGATTTGACATTTGTATATTTTGTGAAATGCTCACCACAATAAGTCTAATTACCGTCTGTCACCAAATTAATAAAATACAATATTATTGACTATATTCCCCCGTGCTGTAATTTACGCCCCCATGGCTTACTTGTTTTGTAACTAGAAATTTGTACCTCTCAATCCCCTTCACCCATTTTGCTCCCCCGTCCTGAAACTCCTTCCCCTTTGATAGCCACCACTCAGTTTTTAGTATCTATGAGTATAGGTGTTGTTTTATGTTGTTATTGGTTTTTTTTTGTTGCACTTATAAGGGAAATCATGCAATATTTGTCTTTCTCTGACTTATTTCACTTAGGATAATACCCTCAAGGTCCAACCATGTTGTCACAAATGGCAAGATCTTTTTTTTATGGCTCAGTAGTATTCCATCGTGTATATATGGAACACACACGTACACACCCTACATCTTTATCCATTCATCTGTTGATGGGCACTTAAGTTGTTTTCCATATGTTGACTATTGTAGATAATGCTGCAGTTAACAGGGGTGCATATATCTTTTTGAATTAGTGTTTTCATTTTCTTCAGATAGATAGCTACACGTGGAATTGCTGGGTCATAGGGTAGTTCTATTTTTAATTTTTTGAGGAACCTCCATACTGTTTTCCAGAGTGGTTGGCTCAATTTATCTTCCCAGCAATAGTTCACAAGGTTTCCCTTTTCTTCATGTCCTCGCTAACACTTGTTTCTTATCTTTTTACTTACAGCCATTCTGACAGGTGTGAGGTGATAATCTGCTTGTGTTTTTCATATGCATTTCCCTCATGTTTAGGAATGTTGAACATCTTTTCATGTGCTTGATGGCCATCTGTATGTCTTTGGAAAACTGTCTATTCAGATCCTCTGTTCATTTTTTGATTGCATTGTTTGGTTTTTTTAGTTATTGAGTTGTATGCGTTCTTTAACTATTTTGGGTATTAACTCTTTACTGGATATATGACTTACAAATATCTCCTCCCTCTATACTGTTTTTGAAGCAAGTGCCATATACTTCATGTCTATAAATGATTTGAACTTTTAAAGTATTTGAACTGCATAGGCAAAGTGTCTGCTAAAACACTTAACTTCTAGATCTCTACAAGTAACAAAATGTTTCAAAGTTACTATTTTCTTTTTATAAATAAATTGTATGGTTTGGGATTTGATTGCTTAAGCTTTATAACTAGGAGTTTTTCATAATCTAATATAATTTACTTATTTCTACTGAAGAGTACAGTGAATAGTTGTATTTCTGGAAAATATTAAAGTATCCTTTTAAATGTTCTTTTAGCTCTAGAAGGTGTCACATTTTCTCTTACCACTAAAATGTCTTTGCGAGCAGTAACAGAGTGTATCAGTATGTAAGATAAAATGCAAAGTAATTTTACTAATTTGAATGATATTCTGAGTATTCGGTGTAATTATCTTGTTTGCATTTTCAAGAGCCTAAAATTTAATGTGTAAATATTTTCTAGATGGTTTCCTATAGAAGCTTAAACTTCGGAATATATTCTGATAATAGGCTATTTTATATTATCTTTACCAAAAGAACATTATATACTTGATGTAATACTGCTATAAAATGGGTTTTTATTGTATTATCATGTAGACAGCTGCAACTTACTATACTTTAAGACTCTTTCTTTGTCCCTAGACTGCATCGACCAGACATTCTTTTCTTATATCAATGTGAAATTTCCAGATCATCTGTAAACCTACAACTTTAATAGAAGACTACTAAAAGCAGAAGACAAATTAGTGAAGAAAAGATAGATCTTCAAAATTGAATAGCAGGATGGTTTATGCTTAAAAGCCATTTCTGTTCATTCTCTTAAATATTTATATTTCATTTGTTTTGCACATTTGCATACGTGCCCATGTAAAAGATTTGCGTATACTTGAAAGAAACCATAAAGTTGTAGCAGTAAAGTCCAGTCATATTTGGTTAATCAGTGTTTGTTATAATTGAAGGAGGTGAGTGAGAAACAGTCTTCCAGCATGTAAATGCCATTGACTTCCGACCTGACATTTAGTATAATAAAAATGAAATTATTCAAATGCTTTAGTTTCTGGCTCCTAGATTCATCTAGTAACTCTACACATGAAACATCCTTTGTTATATATAGTTTTTGAAACCTGCAGTGCTGATTATAGAAGAACTTTGTCAGATATTTGAACATGATATTTACATTATTATTTAGCAAACTCTGTAAATAACCATGCATAAATTACTTTCTGCATTGTTTTCTTAGAAACTGTCTGGATATCTTTTCAATTAATTTAAAATTAAGTGAACTTAATATATAGAGAAAATTTGGGTGTTAAAGATAGTTTGTTTTAGGACAGATTTTAAGAAGATATGGGTATTCCACATGTCCCTTATATAAAAACATCTTTTCATTGTTTTCTTTTTAAGGGACATGCCAAGTTTAGGGATTCTGTCGAGAAGCTTGGTTTTTAGCGTTGCCATCTTAGAGAGTCTTGTAGGAAGAGATTGTATTAGACATTATATTTATTTCATTTAAGACACTTTGGAAAATTAATTTTCTGAATAAGATTCTCATTTGCATTTGTCTTTTAAGAAGCCAATAAAAGTATCTTTCACTTATCATTGTAATAATTTCTTCTTTAGATGTTTAGTTTGTTAAATGAAACAAATCAAAACTTGTACTAATAGCTTCTTGCTTTATGATTGTAGGATTAACCTATAAAAATCATATCTTGAATTCAGATATGCAAAATAATCTGTTTTTAAGTTACAGAAATGTGTCTGTGGAATATGGGGGTGTGGTTTGTGTGTGTGTGTGTTGCAAGAGTATGTGTGTATGTGACCATTATTAAAACTGGAATCTACATTCATAAGCTACTACATTTTGCAAATCATTTTATGTCTCATCTGTTTTCTTTTCAGTTATATTTTTGTTTTTGAATGCCAGAATTAAAAATGGGAATTATATCATCTTTTAAACTTAAAAGTAATTTAATACAGCTATAGAGTACATATAAAATTGGTTGCTTGTTTATTATTAGACACTGACTACTACTAAAAGATACATCTAAAACTATTCAGGGACATTTTTCCATTTCTGAAAAAATAAATTATGCTTTATAACTTCTTTTGTATTTCTTTGTATTTTCTGATTTATTTCATTGTCTTTGATAAATAAAACATGCAGTTTTGTTTTGCTAATTGAGCGTCCTATTTTTTGTTTTCTCTCATTCATTTTCCTTCCCTACATAGAATTTTTATTGTTGATGGAAGTACCTGTGTTATACCCCTTGAAGTCAGACTAGCATGGGGTCAAGAAAACAAAATATTTAATTTAGTTGCCTGATTTGGAATTTAAAATTAAATTAGAATGTATTTATGAGAAATGGAATCTCATGCTAGGTCTCTTCTTTATCGCATATTAAGTTTCTATCGACCTGTACTTTGTTTTTTGTGATAATTTTTAAATTAAGCTATCGTACATGGTAATTGTAGATTACTAGATGAGCTGTCACATCACTTTATTAAAATGTAACATTTTAGTTTTTGTGGTATTTATCCTTGGTTTCTGAATATGGATGTGTCACTTTTGATCCAACATCAAAACCTTCATTTTTTGTTTTGGTCCCCCCCCCCAAATCTATAAGGTTCAAGTGTACATGTTACCTGATCCCCTATAATTGGTACAATTCAGTGGTAGCCGTAAATCTCATCATCCAATTGGGCATAGAATATTATTTTTAAAACCTTAACATTCTCTTCCAGATCTATCAAATTCTGCATACTTCCCTTCATTTCCTGTGAGCTTGGATAGAACAGTTGCTGTTGTGTTTTGGGGTTGCTTAACTGCCTTTGCACTCTGTCTTAAAGTTTGAAAATCAGAATCTTTGTTAGGGTGTCTAAATAATTTTTGAATGATTGTGAACAGGGGCTTGGAAATTAATGCAAATATTTATTAAATTATTTCTATTATATTTGAATAAGCTAGTTAGGGCTAGGATATTATGTATTCATGAAATCAACTGAATTTAAGGTAAAAATACATTTTTCTGTATAGTGTGTTCAGGATTGGAATTAGGAATTTAAAATTAAAAGACAAATCTTATTATACTCAGTTAAAATAAAAATCTCTCTTTAAGAGAAAAAATACTAATCTCTATCTAGCCTTTTATTTTGAGTCGGTGAGGTATATCTCCCATATCAACCTAAGACAATAATCACTAATACTTCCAGCAGAACCGTCCACAACAGGAAAAGTGAAATCCAAAAAGTGCAACTAGAGAAAAAAATCAGGGTTTCTTAATTTAACATTTTTCTTTTCAACTGGTTTGTAGTCCCCCAAAGCACAAAAGTAACGAGAGTGCATCTGATGCTGTATTTAACTGGAGTGACATATGTCCTGAGTTTGCTCAGAAACAGTCCTATTTCTGTTTTCTCAGCTTAAATAGTGCCTCCTCTCTCAAAAGTGTCCTAATTTGGAGAATAAATTACATGATCATCCTATATATAACTGTACTTTTTACTGAGAAGTGACTGCCTAAATCCATTGCCCTTGGAGAGAAGGAACTGGAGTATTAGGTCAGGAGCTAATTTTTGTCACAGCCTTTCCTAGCCAACCCATTTGACCTATAGAATATGCACAGTATCTTTTTTTTTTTTTAATAGAAGTTGTATTGGAATGATTCCAGCTTATGGTAAATAGTAAACAATGAGCTTTTATATTTTAAAACTGCTGTTAAATGTTAATTTTAATTGTTTATTCTTCAAATAGTCATATGAAATGTTAGTGTATTATTTTTTAAAATCTCATTCTTGATAAAGTTAAACTGTTAGATGATGTGCCAATTATTATAGGAATGTCCTTGCCCATATATAAAACATGCTGACATATGTTTTGCTTATTAATAAAGTTCTATAGATGTGGAAATGTGAACCTGTGCATCCTTTTGAAAATCAGTGTAAGATTCACAACATATCGCCATCTTAGCCTCACAAAATGTTTATATGGTATACCTTATTTGAGACGAGAACAGCTGGCATGGAATTAGGTTGGAGTGTGGAACAGTATTAAACTTGTCACAGGAGATAATTGCAGTTTAATTTTAATACATGCCAAAAAATCAGCTTTATGGAATTTATGTTCATTGCTACCTTATAGAATATCAGTGGTAACCATAGGTCAGACCTCCCTGTGGGCTTGTATTTTCATTTGGGACATAAGACCTAGAATGCAAAAAACTTCCTTCAAATTATTTAGAAGAAAATCAAAAAGCTCATTCCATACTGGATAAAAATTTTTAAAAGTGTTTATTTTGAACTCAACATGCTTGGTGGTTTTAACTTTTCTTTCTTGGTGTTTTCAGCTTAGCTTTCTTTCTTTTTGTTTTGAGAGATTGAGCTTTTAAAAGCTACTTGGTTTTCATGAAAACCATTTAAAAAAATCCAGTAGCTATATAGAGTTTACTTTTTTAAAAAAGATTTATTTATTTGAGAGAGACTGGAGGGAGGAGCAGAGGGAGAGGGAATCTCAAGCAGACTCCATGCTGAGCGCAGATCCCAATGCCAGGCTCAATCTCATGACCCTGAGATCATGACCTGAGCTGAAACCAAGAGTCGGACGCTCAACCAACAGAGCCACCCAGGCTCCCCTAGAGTATTACTTTTTTAGCAGTTGAGATTATGAAAGCCAAAATCATACACTTTTGGTTTCCAGAAATTTAGAGGTAGCTTCTCTATCTCTCACACTTGCAAGAAGAGTCACCTTATTACTTTCCCACTCCTTTTGTGTTTGTTTTACTTAGATCAACATTTTACCTTCAGTGACACAAGAAGGGATATTGGTGGTTGGCCTTACAGCATAATATCTTCTTTTAGCTTTACCAGAAGCATAGCAAAATCATGTAAAACAAAAGTTTAACCAAAGTTCAGAAGAAATTGGGAGGAGCCTCTGCGCTCAGATTATGAAAAGTAGTAGATAACCTTGTTGGAAAGTATGAACTCTTTGGAGATTCAAGAACAGTACTTGTACCTAAGTCCCTAGTGTGGAAATATATTTATCATTCCTTTAGTTTCTCAGCCATCTGAATTCCTGCATGGTGATTTGGTTTGGCTATGCTATGCAATCTATGGGATTTGGGCTTTAAAATTTTAATTTTCATCTTATTCAGAGATAAGACCTAAAGACTTTTTTTTTTCATCAAGTTGGCTCTGTGCCTAACATGAGGCTTGAACTCATGACCCTGAGATCGAGTCACGTGCTCTACCAACTGAGCCAGCCAGGCACCCCAAGACCTAAAAACTTAATTGCTAGTAAGCATTGGTGGTGGAATGAGTATTAGTATCACTGCCTAAATCCAGCTTTTAAAATGACCCACAGACTGTGGAAAACAGGATCAGTTCATTGAGAAGAACTTCTAAAAGATAAGTGAGTCTTAACATTTCCTTAATCCAATGGGATCTTCAGGGAGGAATTATTATTATTTACTTATTTTTATTATTTTTATTTGTTTTAGAGAGGGAGGGGAGGGACAGAGGGAGAGATAGAATCGCAATTAGGCTCCAAGCCGAGCATGGAGCCCTTGGGGCTTGATCCCACAGTCCTGAGATCATGACCTGAGCCAAAATCAAGAGTCGGACACTTAACTGAGCCACCCAGGTGACCTCCAGGAATGAACTCTTTTTTTTTTTTTTTTTTTTATTTATTTGACAGATAGCGAGAGCAGGAACACAAGCAGGGGGAGTGGGAGAAGGAGAAGGAGAAGCAGGCTTCCCGCAGAGCAGGGAACCCGATGTGGGCCTCGATCCCAGGACCCTGGGATCATGACCTGAGCCGAAGGCAGACGCTTAACGACTGAGCCACCCAGGTGCCCCAGGAAGGAACTCTTGATTGAGTGATTCTTAGGACCTCTCTTCAGAGCTGGGATTGTTACTCAAAATGGTGCATTATAATCAACTGGAAGTTTGGGGGAAATTAACATTCTAGCCTCCATTACCAGAGGATCCAATGCAATACACCTGACCTGTGACAGCACATTTCCTTCCCCTAGTTTGAAGTTCGGGGATTTTGGTCTAGTGGGAATCCGCTGATTCCCTTTTTCATCATTGTGTGTTCTCTCTATAGCTAGGTGCTTGTACACAGGTGATGGGTAGTTACGTTAGGCTCAACATGTCAAGACTTCTTGCAGGCAAAGGGAAAGGCACATAAAACATCTTAAAGAGTTAATGAGCATTTCTTGAGTTCTTTATGACCTCTCTGAAGGAGAGCCTTTCTGGTTTTCAGGCCTTTATACAGACAACCTGGCTCTGCAGGGCAGTGTGGGAGTGTTGTGACAGAAGTGTTTGTTGGTTTCTCCATAATCCCGGAAAGTGAGCAGAATTGGATTAATTTTCACACAGTTGATTTTTCCTACCTCAAGAAATGTAACTTCTTTCCACTAGCACCTCCCTTTCTCTATCCTTGAGGAGCCTCTGGATTATTAAGAGAAGCAGCTTTATGTAATAAAAGACTGGTTTTGGAGTCAGATTAACTAACCCTGAACTCAAATAACCAACTTTCATGCAAGCACAGGCAATTTGCTTAACCAAAGCCTCAGTTTCCTCACCTGTTTGTTGGGAAACACAGTATGTACCTGAAGATGAGGTGAGAATTATGCAAAAGAAAGAGGCATTATGACATCTTTGCTCAGTGTGTTCCCTGACCAGACTGCCTGTGTCAGTAGATGCTTTAAGGATTTGAAATAAGCCCTTGCCTGATGTGGGCCTTGCACCCGCCAAAAAGGGTGATTTATATAATAGCATCGTGCTGACCTAGGGTTGGTTCCTTATATCTTGTATCTTCTCTGCAGGAAGTGGAATCAAAGCAAAAGTTTCTTTTTATCTATCTATCTATTTATCTATCTATCTATCTATCATCTATTTTTTATGTTAGTCGCCATACAGTACATCATTAGTTTTTGATGACAACTGATTTTAAGGGACACAGTCATGCAAAGGGGAAGGGAGTTGCCTGTTTGACAAGCAGTAAAGCACTCCAGCTGGTGCGGAGTGTGGTAGCTCACACAGATCTTTCCAGGCCAAAGTGTGGAGGCCCCAAAACCAGTCCCTCAGATCTTCACTGTTGAATTGGGATGATGTTGCTTTTTACAGGTATCCCCCGCCTTTTGAAGGTTCACAGTACGCCACTTCACGTTCATGAAAAACCTACATTGGTTCTTGTTTTCGCTAACTGAAAGAAATTCAAAGAAGATTTTTGCTTTACTGAAAAAAGGTGAAAAGCAAAAATAGCACTCAGCATTTGTTTCGCAGCGCGCTAGGACAGGGGCAGTGCGCACCCCACGCTGCTTCCCCTGACCTGCCCTTAAGCATCTCAGCATCAAGCCAGCAGAGCTCTGAGCTGCGTCTGGGAGCATCTGTCTTACCCGGATTTGTTTTGTGCATTCGTTAGCAAGATGTGTCCTAAGGTGTTAGAGAAGCCAAAGAGAGATTTTTGGGGTCTGGGAGTGCCCAGAAATAAATGGTAATAAATTTAACGATAATTGCTTTCATATAGATCCGGGGTAATTGCTTCACGTTACACACTTCGGCTTACGAAGGTTTCCTGCAATGCTCTGCTTTCGGAGAGCGGGACAAACCTGTAACTGGCGCTGCATCGCTGTTGCTCAGGGAGCCGGGGCTCTGAAATCCTGGTTGAGAAGTGATCAGAAAATAGTTTGTGGGCAGGTTGTTTTTGATTCTAGGAATTCGAGGACTCACCAGCTTTCTCTTATCATCATGGGTTCTTAATCTTGGATTTATTTTCAAAAATGTCTGTTACCTTGCAAGGGAAATACTTAGATGGGAATTAGGTCTCCTAGACTCTACCCTGATCATAATCGGGTCCATTAAAAGTTTTTGAGTGCCGAAGGGATGGTGCTGTTGCCTTCACAGGACGTCCATCTACCCTATTCATTTTCCCACCTTCAAAAAGAGCTTGAATACCATCTCTTTAGGGAAGGCCCATTCTCCCTCATCCTCTCACTCTGACTGACCCGGCCCTCTTGGTTTCCATAGCCCTGTGTATTCTTTCTGTCAAGGCACAGACGGCACTGCATCATTATTACTGACTTGGGTGTTACTGTCCTCAGTTGTAGATGTTAAATCTTAACCCAACTTGGCACGCCTCCCCCACACTCAGTACAGCTC